GTAAATTTCATAAATGCTTGAAACCGCAATATTTCGAAATTTAATACGCCGTAATTATTTCAACTTTTCATAATACTCCAATCCGTTTATATCCAAATCCTCTTCAGTTGTGAAAGTGGTGCTCAACTCCCAACATTTCGACAGCAGAAAGTATCATCTTCGGTAGGTAACAATTGTCAATGGCAATAAATTGGCGACTCGCCGTATTGAGAAATCGGCAACATCATTTCTTTTATGGCATTATGGGAATATGTTAACAAAAATTCCCAAAGTGATGAACTTCGCGTCAACAGGATTCTTCAAAACCATTTAATTTATGCCCCAGATAGGATTGAAAAATAGGAAGCCCCATAACGACGAAAATAATTAATTTCGTTTGCAAATTATAAGTTTCTATTCAAAAACAAATGAAATATTAAAATAGAATAAAATTGTTCCAAAAAATTATTATTCAAATATTCATTTAAATTAAATGAATCTAATTTTTGAACGGCTGGCAACGCTTGTAAAACACCTCAGTAATATTTTAAATGTTCAGTCTGAAGATTTCTTAGCAATCTTCCATTTGACACCCTTGTATTAATTTTTCTGATAGCTTGCGAGTAATTAATTTAAATTTGGCTTTCGAACAGGTGGCAACCCTTTCCAAAATAGCCTCTTGTATCCATTCTTTAATATAATTTTCAAATAAGTAATTCACTTAATTCAAGTCGAATTTGATTTTTTAAACAGATGGCAGCCCTCCTCCATGAGCATGGAATTGATTGTACATGTGTACATACATACATGTATGTATCTATACCCAGTTCCCGTACTCTATCAAAAATATTTTCTGAGATATGATATGCGGTATACAAATTTCGTTTTATGCGAGGTGCCATGCCCCCTCGTATAATCGAGATTCAATCTATCCTAGTAAAAGCGTGGAAGCGTAACAAATAAACAAACTCACTTTCGGATTTATAATATTAGTAAGGATTTTCTTTTAAAAATACTTTATGTGCATGTGCATCAGCAGAAATTTGTACTACAATCGGCGAACAGCACACACTTTGCTATGAGCAGAGTTTGTTTTCCAGTAATGCACACACATGTATTGGAGCAATGAGTGCAAGTTGAATGTGTTTCTGGCATGTACATATGTGAGCAGAGCATGTGTGTGCAAATACGAACCCTGGATGATATATAGAAATGTCTAGCAAAACATTTTTATCAAAATGTAATGCATATCAAATAAGGGTTCGCCATCAATTTCCTGTCAATCGATGAAAGTACTTCGAAAAAATTTAATGTAGTATTAGATACATTGGAATTAATTACTTTTGAGAAGCAGTTCATGCATATTGTAATGCGATTGCATTACTTTGGAGTTGACTCTGGCATTGGTGGCGTTCTCATGCAATCGCATTTGCGCTGCTGGATGGGTTAGCCAGTAGACAAATCAAAACAGCATTTAGAATAGGGGTGATAGCACTAGTTCCTTTGTGGTGGATCCTGCATGAATTACTCCGTTACATTACAGATACAACAATCTACTATTCGGCTTCCGTGAGCGCCTCACCTAAATAATCTTAGCCGACAAATACTTAAGAGCCCTTTAATGTACCTTATGTAAACTGTTTTTAGCAGAGTGAGCTCTCAATCGTGCGTACTTTCTTAAACCTTAAACAGACGGCAGCATTGATCCGGATTAACTCGGAGTTAGTCCGGATCAACTGCAGTTAATTCCCGAGTTGATCCGGATCAACGCTGCCGTCTGTTTATGCTTTTAGATATGCAAGCATGTCATCAGTTCGATAAAGTGGACGCCATGTTTCTGATACTTCGATATAGAAATCTCTTAAAAATCTACATACATATACATATGTACATATGTATATCTTCCAAATGGCATCTTATATCCAAAAATAAATGCATGATATAAATAAAAATCATATCGACCCCTTGAGGAGAAGCTCGGCCAAACACTAACATATGTGTAAGCGCCAATCAATTATTATTATTATATCGACCCTTTTGCGTAAAATTATCGAATGTTAAATTTTTTACGAAATTAACTTTTTGATGCTACTTTGTTTTAAAACCCATAACGCATCACCTGTTCAAATATTACGGCTTAGATCCGAATAGCTACCCCTAAAATTGACTGCAAATTTTATCCTATGCGACAATGACTTTTTTCTTGTGCGCGAAATTATCATATGTGCTAAGAAATTAGAATGTAGTGACTTTTCTACAATAAATCTTGCGTTTAGTTATATGTATTTCTCAATTATCTCAGCAGATCTAAACTTTGGTATTGATGGTTCTAGCCAAAGTAGAGAAAAATAATTTCCTGTAAAATTTAGAGTTTTGTAACATACGATAATTTTGCGCATAGGGGTCGATACACATATCTTGTGAATAAGTTAATTAAATTCGATCTTTCTTACCAGGTGGCAACCTATTTCAAAAGTATTTTCGAACTAAAATCTTCTTAAATCTCTTTCGTTTGATATTGTGACACATAATTCAATTAACTCATGAATTAATCTGAATTGGATTTTTCAAATACTTGGCAACCCTCCTAAATATGGTTTTGAAAAAAAACTCCCTTCCAAGCCTATTTCGATTGATACACATCTTTTAATAATTCATTTAATTTGTTAAATAGCTTGTATTTAGCTTTTTAAACCGGTGGCAACCCTCTTTGAATACCTCTAAATGTCCAACTTAAAGATTTTTTTACCTCTCTTATATATATTCAAACCAAAACCTTCTTTACTCTCTTTTCTCAGCGAATAAGTTTTTTAAACTGAAATTAAAAAATTATTACTCAACTTACGAGAAATTTCAACTATAAATGCATTAAAATTATAATCGAAGTAAAATCAAAGTGCAATAAAAATGCCATGAGTAGAATAATAAAAATCAACGCATTTTCATGCGTCACAAGCATTGGTTCACAATTTTCAAACATAAAAGTGACTAAAGTACTACCGCTGTCGTTGTTTTTGTTAGCTAGTATTTGCAAATCAAGAAGATGAGAAATGCCGCTGGAGAAATGTGCATACAAATTTACATTAAACGCAGTCCACTGGGCGCGACACCACTTTAATGCTGATGCATGCAGAGGAATACACAGCCATTCTCATTTACACACACCCATGCAAACACTTATAGTCCATACATGCTACAAGCGCAAAAAGTTTGTCCTTCTAGCCAATGTTGCACAATTTTTCAATCAGCATGGAATTGGAATCCCAAAAGAACGCAACGGTAAAAACAGCGAACAGTGAGCGGGGGAGGAATGAACGATTTTAACAAATCCAATCAGAAGCATACCTAGCAGCAACCGTTATAGGATACATATGTACATACATATATATATGTAGTATTTAATCTGATGCAGCACAAGTTAAATAAAACTTATTAAATCGTTGAAATTTAGAATAGAATTTCACACCAGGTTTTCAGGCATTCAGTGCTTTTTAGGGTCTCAGCATATATTTATGCATATATACTACATGTATATACATAGCTAAGTATAGCGCTGACGTTGGGTTTGGTGTTCTTATTCGTATTTAGCTACGTGCGTAGCTTGAGTAACTATTAAATTTAAATACAAAGTCTACAAAGAAAGTAGTGGTTAGAGATGAACTATGCGCTGGTGCATGATCAATCTCACGTTCATTTAAAATTTACAACAGTACGCTACAGAATTACAAAAATGGGCGGCCAACAGTGGCCAACAACTACAAACGATGGCAGTACGAATAATTGGTTGTTTTTTTTTTTTGGTATAGACAGCTCTGGCATTTTTATTGAAACTGCTCACCGCACTTACCTTTCTCAACAAAATAGTGCATATGTATGTATGTAAATGTAAGTGAATTTATTCCAAGGAATTGCCCTGGAGCAAAAACTGTGGACATTCTCACAAAACACTAGTTCCCAACGAGATATATCATGCCTGCCTTCAAACTAGTTCGAAGTGGTGGCAGGCGTTCCTACCAGTCCACAGGATATCGCATTGTTAACGTAGACAGAATATAACGTTAGGGTAGATAGAGAAGCTGTTCGGTGCCATTTTGAGTTAGATCTGTGCTAGTTCTGCACTAGTTTGATTTACTGCAATGTGGCTGTGGGTGCTGCGTTGAAGTACTATGTTGTATGTATGTATGTAAATGCTCTGATGCATTCTCTGAAAATAAGTTTGCGAATTAAAGCAGATAAATGCATTAGAGGTTTACGCCAACAGGCTTAGCGGCGGCGCCGTGGTCAACTTCAAAAAGAAAGAGCCATGAGGCTTCTAATCTTATCATGTCATCAGATTATAATTCTATTTAATTCATTCATTGAATTCAAATGTTGAGTGACTGCTGCTGATGGATGGGCGAACAGAAGAAAGTCTATATAGTATATACATTAGGTTTCCCATCGAAATCGCGTTTTTTTCTGAAAATTTAAAGACCCTACCCCCTAATTTGATTCGTTTTTATGAGAAATATTATTGCATATTTTTATAGATTTTTTAAAGGCCATTTAGAGGTCGCGGCCTGCCGATTTAGGTCAGAATATACGATTTTCTAGATTCATGAGTTTTTGAGTGACTATTTTTGCATGAATTTCAAAGAATTTTTTTTAAATTTTGACCATCGATAATTTCCACAATTTGAAAATACGTAATACTAACGTACAAAAAAACGATTCTCGATGGGCACCCTAATATACATACATCTCTATGTACTCTACAGATCCGTATGTACTATTTCAATTTAAAGAAATAAAAAAATTTAAAGGTTAAGTTATTGGGGTAATTTATGTCGCTATCAATAAATTTTTGCAATAAACTTATCAACCGTTATGTTAAATTACGGAGTTCTTACGAGTTTTTGGGCGTTATATATTGAAAAGTAGGCCAACCTACTTTTTCCAAAAGTTTAACCCATCAACTCCCACCAGAACGCGGCAATGTTTGAAAAAATGGCTTATAAATGGCTAAAATTTCCACTTCTATATTAAGCGCCAGATTTTTCTAAGGGGAACAGAATGTAATGCAAAATAATAGTAATTTTTACCAAAAAGGGGGACTTTAACTCTGTGTAAAAAATATTGCGATGGGCGCGAGCAAAACCTTCCTGGGGTTTGACCACTACTTAGGAATATTAACGTAATTTTCACACAGTCACATAGTACTTGTATACATCTGTGGGACTCCAGAATAAAGTAACTTACGAATGTAAAATTAGAAAAAAAAGTGTTTGCTTTTTATTAAAATTCTGTTTTAAATATTTAAAAACATACAGGAATATCAACTAGTCTTTGTTTTATCTCCAATAATTGAGGAGTTAGATGCAATAAAGGCGCTTCTGTTAAAACTGCTTTCTGAGATATTGGCGTTAAAGTTTTTTATGTGTTATAACTTTCTTGTTGATGTAGTATATAAAAATAGTAGTATTGTTGTAGTATTGAAAAAAATTTTCTACTCCGGAAAAAATCGTCAGATTACCAGTATTCGACCCTAATTTAACTGTAATAAACGCTTTCGATCGAAAAACGTATTACCTATAATCTTTCTGAGTTACCCTTTTTTTCGAAATGTTCAGTGGCCCCAATTATGCAAAAAAACTCAATTTAAAAATGTAATTTTCATTTCGTAAAATAGTGTTTTTATACGAGTAGTACTTAGTTCCTTCAAACGTTGTGTTTCAATGTGCATACAACATGAAAATTTTGTGCAAAATTCCTTAGGCGCCGAACGCCGCCGCCGCCGCGCCGATATTTTCGTAACTCGGCGGCGGCCCATGAGAAATGACAAAAAACGGCGGCGGCAGCGGCGGCGTATACCTCTAAAATGCATGACATACATATGTATGTGCATAGTATGTATGCACAAAAGTAAAGTAAGAAAGATTGAGGGAAGGCAATGCTAATAGCATTTGAAAATCGTGATATTCTCTTGTTTGAGTAATTACAGACATTCACGTAGGAGTTCATTGCAACGTAATCACTGACGGTGGTTTGGCGAAAACTATTCCTTAAGCTCTCTGGGTTACTGTTTCATATAAAAATAAGCCTGATTGCGCAAAATCTCTTATTTAGTCCGTTAGTACTTCTGATGTTGCTTTTTTGCAGGGCTCGAACCGACTTCAAAAACATTAATGCAAGCGCCATAACGGGTGTCTTAGCAGAGTTTGGAGTTGACCATAACGTAGCGGCACTGATTGAGACCACACTTCTCAGCAGGAAGATAACCGCTAAGTTCGGCAACACCACAATAAGCAGACAGATCTGTAGAGGCGCCCTTTCCCTCTTCTCGGGATTCTGGCAGTAAACTCCTTGCTGCTGGCCCTAGAGAAAGGGGGCTGTCACGTCACTGTTTATGCTGATGACCTGGCAATTGCCATCAAAGGCAAATATCCTAATACGCGTATGGATATTCTGCGCTCTAATATGGCTACGCTTAGGAACTGAACAGAGAGTAGGGGCCTCGGAATAAACCCCGATAAAACCGAAGAAATTCTCTTTACAATGAAACACCGACTTCCTATAGTCTCCCCGCTAATATCTAAGGGTGTGGATATAGCTTTCAAGATGAATGTTAAGCATCTAGGACACATATTAAAAAGTATGATCGGCCATGCTTCCATACTTCACACTATAGGTGGTTATGGCCAAGAATATGACTACTGTTTCCCTAAACCACCTTGGATAGGCTCTTTAAGACGCACATCCCGTTCAGCAGAGAAGGTCAAACATCGAGGCATGGAGAAGGGGGGAATTGAATTTGTACACGACTGGAATTTAAGTGTGGTCTGCCCAATCCACCACAAGGATGACTCCGCCGTATGTGTCCACTACCGCAGGATTCGCCTTCTAAATCGGGCGTATTGAGTGAATGACCAAAGCCCACCGTTAACAAACTGATTGGGCCATATCACCGTCGATTTATCGACATCAAAGCCACACTCGACAGCACAAAAAGAAGTTGCCTTTATATCGCGATGACTGAAGCGGTTGATACGTCGCAAGACCCCAAGCGTTTCTTGACTTTTCCCGTTCAACACATTTCTTGGATGGCGGTGATGTAAGATTTTGACCTTCCGTGCACGTCAACCAGCTGGGCAGGAGGCACCTTCCCCATTAAGGGTCCGGACATTGCACCTGGAATGTCTTCAAATCGTAGTCCTTCAAAAGTTTGCCGTTGTCGTCATCGGAGGCTATATTTTCATTATTTACTGGATGGTCCATATTTTCATTATTTACGAGGCGGGTACTAAAACCCATTGTTCTACTTTCGCCACACGTTATTGGAGGTGGGCGCGTGAAGAACAGTCCATTCCAACTTTGTCCCTATGATCCCTGCTACTGTTTTTGACGCAACTTTATACGACAGATCAGGCGTAACCAGAAGCGCTTCAACAGTTAACGTTGAGGCAACAATATTGTTGTGTTTGTACACTAGTATGCAGAAAAGGGTGGCAGCCTTTCTTTTAGGTTGTGCAAAAATCTTATCGCGATATCTAATAATAACTTCTCATAAGAAGATAATTTGTCTATTTTTCAATTTTACATTTTTCAACTTTGCCTAGAACTAGAAAAGTAAGTAATCAAAAGCATTCCCTGAATTAAAGTTTAAAATTATATTTGCCATATTTTTAATATAGGGGTTTTTACGTTGTAAGGGGAAAGCATATCAAAAAATTTTGGACGTTCGTCCTCCAAGCTATAGTTTGGTAACTACATTACGTATGTACGTACATATGTATGTATGTACATATGTAGGAATTCAAATTGTATGTGGCGCTCAAGTGGTTTTAATTTATGTTGTTGTTTTTGGACGTAATGGTGGTCTCCTTTGATAAAAGCTGGTGTACATAAATATGTACATATGTATGCAGGTACGTACATATATAACTTTGGCAACTTTCCACTTTGCACACTGCATAACTTTTCATGCAGCAGCAACAACAAAAAAGGAAGCGTAATTGCTACCTTAAAAGTGCCCAAGAAGTCTCTAAAACAATGACAGCGGACGGCATGAGACAGGTGCAATGCCCCCTTCAATTTATGTAAATTACTAAAGCTTCGGCTCTCGGAACGTCACCCAACGCCACTAGATTGGCTATACTTCTGTCACTACATTGACTATACAACCGCAATCACCTTGACTCAACGAAAACGATTCGTTAAACTTGATTGTCTTCATTGCTGTGGGCATCCGTCCCATTTTCATTTCGAATGCTCCAGTTTGCGGCACATGCCGTATGGCAATACTTAGAATGACACCAATTCAACCATCACGTTGCCACTCAATTGGTGCAATAATTGCACAACATTCATGCACGTACAAACAACCCAGTGGGAAAATGCGTCTTTTATCACCAAAATGTGTTTAGGAGGTTACGATTGGATGAGAACAATTTTGGGGGTAGACTATAGATAGAAGAAGATAATAGAGTTTAGAAGTACCAGTAACCAAAATTGATTGTGAATAAGCTGCACAAACAGTTGAAAAAATAAATAAATTTTTCAAATCAAAACTTCCGCGCCAACCATAAAAACGATGTAGCCAATATTTCAATTTCCAGTTGTCATCTGTAATACCATTTCAGCCACCGGCAACTCAATTGAAGTTCGGTGGGCATCCGTGATCGGCCTATATATATATATATATATATATATATATGAGCTAGCTGTGCTTTTAATTTGCTTTTGATATTTTTCTTATTCATAGATTTATAAAGCGACACGCGACAAATTTAGGGAGTTTATGTAAACGCGAAACCAGTTGAAGCTCGTATACTTATCTTATTTTGCGTGGAAAACCGGTTTATTTACGAGGTTTATGTGGTTACGAGGCATTAACACGTTTATATGAATACCCATATTACTTTCATAGGCACAAAAATGCATGCAGCTTTTAAAGTTTCCTTTTTTCTCCTGGGCCAGTCATACATACGTGAGCTGGTATGCAGAGATTTGCTGTACATGACCACTACGTATACTTGTGCTCCACTTACCGTTTATAATTCTGGTCAGCTTATTGCGGCGCGTTGACGATGGACTTAAGAGGCTTTCACGTCGACTATTACCCGCACTGCTACCACTGCTGCACAGATCGCCACCGGTACCGTAATTGATATTCAATTGGGTTGTTTGCGATGTGGCGCTGCAGTTTGAGAACAGGCTGCTGGCCGATGGACGTTTGCTGAAGGGCACGACGGAGGGACGTGGTATGTCGAGTGAGGGTCGCGGTGAGTCGCTCCACACAATCTCGGCAAAGGAATCAATGCTGGCGGAACGTTGTAATGCGCTGCTGTCCTTTCGTCTGTAAAGAAAGTCGAAGATAAAAGATTGTGGAATGAATAAACTAGAAAATAACTAAGCACCTACTAAGAAAAATGAAGTACTTTTGATTATTGAAAGATATGCGAAGGGAGTGCAATATAATAGGATTACTACGAAAGCGCCAATGCGTGCATCTATTGTCAATGTAGATTAAAGGGATATTGAGTTGCTTTATACATACATACATACATTAGGGAGGGTCAATTTGTTTGGGTAGATTTTTTCGACTATGCGCTTATAGCACAGTACTTAAATTTTGTACAAAAACATACTATAAGGCATGATACAATAATTTTTAGAAGGTAGTTTCACTTCTTCTTCTTATCCGCCATGTTAGCTATCTGACAGAAAACGTGTTTCGTATTTTTTGTTGTACCAAATTTTTCAAAAAAAAATCCACCTTTTGATGTTGGAAAAATAAATAATAATTTTCGAATATTTTTAAATATTTTTCTTCATAAAAAGTTAACTGCTGCTTTCGTGGATATTGCAACACACGGAATAGGTGTAAGGATGCAGCTATAAGAGCCACCGCATACCACAGAGTTTAGCGGCCGCCTATTTAAATAATAGGGCTCGCTTGAAATATGTACATGAAGATGTATGGAGGTGCGCACACTACACCAGCTTAATCGCTCCGACCAATAAGTTGTGGTGCAATGGAAAGACTAGCGAGCCCATCTAAATCGGCGGCCGATAAAGTCCGTGGTGTGCGATGGATCTAATCCATTATAAACAAGAAATATTGCCGTTATATTTTCATTTTTATGGGGGAAACTTTCCATTATGGCCGTTCGTTAAAGGTGCGGTGGGCGAAGCGGGAGTGGGCGTGGCACCTCCAACCGACCTTTTTGGAGAGGGCATGAACCGCCATTGACAAAAATGCAACCCCCGACCACCTAGGCCCCCTATGGTTCCCTACGGACCCCTTAGAAAAAGGGCCAAAAATCGCAATTTTTACTTGCGTCCACAGTATTTTTGCGTAGAATTCCTTTCTGCGTAGGCGGCCTTCGGCCGCGCTTAGGGATTATAACCCTTATTATGTAGAATTCTCCTTTCTGTGTGACCTAACTGGGGCTACCGCCCCAGTGATGTAACCTTGGGAAAGGATGAGGTAACTAGAATTCCCTTTCTGTGTGGTAAACCTGGTGCTGCCGCCCAGTGATGTCTATTTTGGTTACTGGGTGTTTTATAAAAATGTCTTGTATATAAAAATGTGTATATAAAAATGTATTGTGCAAATGAATATTTAACATATTTCAAGCGAATAAACGCAAATGAAAATTGTGCTATTTGGCAATTTTTCTAAGGGGTCCCTAGGGAACCATAGGGGACCTAGGTGGTCGGGGGTTGCATTTTTGTCAATGGCGGTTCATTCCCTCTCCAAAAAGGTGGGTTAGAGGTGGCACGCCCACTTACCATTCGCCCACCGCCCCTTTAACGAACGGCCATAAAGGCCGTGTGATTAGCAGTGGCAAAAATGTATGTATTAAATACGTATATTTATATTTAAAATTAAGTGATCAGTTATGAAACATATAAATCTTTACATGTTTTGTTAAAAAATATCTAAAATAACAAGCGAAAATCCCCAAGTTCTATATCGTAGCAGTGGCCACATTGCGTGTTTGTCACAGACACGGTTTATGTCAAAAATTTTGAAGTGAAACTACCTTCTAAAAATTATTGTATCATGCTATAAGGTGTTTTTTTGCATGAGGAATCCATCTATGCACTTATATTTTTCAGAAAACTTCCACCAGAGGAAACAACCGTGAACATTTTCACATTTTCTTCGAAAATAATTTTTTTTTAGACCTATGGGTTCTTCGGAAAATTTGCTTAGAATTACACGTAGGATGCTCCTAGGCTATACGCGCATAGTCGAAAAAGAAATGTCCCGCCCTAATGAGTATTCACGATCTTATAATGGGTGTTTATAAAGATAGCTTTCAAGAAATTATAAATAAGTATTCGCTTTTAATTGAATAGAAAGTAGAGCTCTAGATACCCGGGTATCGAGCAATGCGAGTAGCTCGATACTCGCTCGAAAATCGTTCATTGCTCAACTGCTCAAATGCTTGTTCAAAATTTTCGAGTTTTTGAAATTGTATTTGTCAGCAGCTGCTTTCTAGTTCATGTTAAATAAATTATATTATTAAATACCAATGTAACAATCTTTGCATTATACATCAATAATTTGAAAAATTTAAAAAGTTGCTACCAAAAATGTCAATATAATAAAAAAAATATTGCTCAAATTACTCGAAAAAACACGAATTGCTCGAGCTAATGTTCGAAAATTTTCGAGTAATGAGCATTGAACAAGTGTGCGAGTACTCGCTGCTCATATACCCGGGCCGTTTGAAAATGTGCGAACAAAATCGAGAGCTCTAATAGAAAGTAACCAGAATATCGTCTTCAAAGCTAGGTTTGACAAGTTCGTTTCGTTATGTTAGGGGTTTTCCTTTGGTCTCACTATCCTTTCCACGTATTGAATCATATCGGCAGGTTTTGAATTCGTTAGGCAATCAGATTGTAATTCGTTCCAGGAGTATTTAGTTTTAAATATACATATGTAAGGACATAAGAAGAAGTTAAGTTACATGGTTTTCTGTGTTCTCTATGGATACGAACTATTTAAATAAAAAAAAGAACAGTCCAGCGCCTCGTCTTGGTCTGCAGGCTGTATCGGAGACACAGCCGTTATATTTAAACGTAAAATGCGCGTCGTATTGTTAAGAGCACATCCAAGTCAAAAACGAAAGCACACACTAAGAAAATAATATCGATAACAAAAGCGATAATAATATCGATAGCAAAAACTTTACCAAATCGATAAAAACATCGATAGCAAAATCGATAAAAATATCGATAACAAAATCGATAATAATATCGATAGCAAAATCGTTAAAAATATCGTTAACAAAATCGATAAAAATATCGACAACAAAATCTATTAAGAAATCTACTACAAAATCGATAACAAAATCGATTAAAACATCGATAATAAAATCGATAAAAATATTGATATAGTATCGATAAGTTCCGAAAATATCGATAGCAAAATCAATAACAATATCGATAGAAATTTCGATAACAAAATCGATAAAAAACATCGATAACAAAACTGATAAAATATCGATAAGTCCCGAGAGTTCCGAAAATTTTTAAAATCCCGAAATAGTGTCCAGATTGAGCCTCTGTCTATATCCTTTTCTCTATAATTACCTTTATTTTAATTTTTCTTCCCCTATCTTTATCTTTCCTTTTATCGGTATCCTCTTCCTCTTCTTCACCTACGTACATATTCCATCTGTTATTCAAAAGTCGAAATACCTACACATACATACTTTTTGTGCCCTCTCACTTCCAACGCATGCACGTGTTTGCAAAATGATGACTAAGTGCTTTTGTATGGAAAATTATTTATGCTCATATATTTGAATCAAATAAACATACTTAGAAGATATCAACCAATACTTCCCATATACCAAGTAAAAGGAAAAATCTTGAATTTTTGATTAAAGAAAACAAAAACAAAATCCTTTGAGCGGTTTTCGAGCATTTTTGAAACTTTTTAAAAATTTTTTGCATTAAAATGCACAACATTTGTTGAACTTATATAAAATTTGTACGCGATATTATTTCTATTGCTCCAAAAAACCTATATCCCTATAAACCTATAAAGGCTCAAAATTGACCCCAAAATAAATCAATGTTTACCGTTGTTTCTACGACAGAAACCGAATTGGTTACTTACAAAAGTGAATCTGTCGATAGGCTTAGAATGATATCATTAGTTCTCGTGCAATAAGCATTTTCGTAAAGCTCTAAAAATTACAACTACAACATTTGAGCATACCCTCCATATCGAAACGTAAGACGTATTCTACGTCAAAAAAATTAGGTTATTGGAGTAAGTCGCAATAGATAGAGCTTACACAGCCTATTACACATGCAAAAGAATATTCAGTAGGAACTGGGGACTAAAGCCAAAGCTTGTCCTCAGGATGCCCACGGATGTCATACGACCGATACTAAACTACGGGGCGTTAGTTTGGTGGCAAGTACTAGAAAAACCATGCAACGTCAAGAAATTAGGCAGTATACAAAGTGCCGCTTGTGCAGGTGCTACAGGAGCATTTAAGCCGTGTCCACCTGATGTGATCCTGCATCAACACCACATCCGCGAAACTGCTGCGTCCTCGGCAATCAGACTCAAGTAGTCAAGCTGCTGAAGGGCGCCACGGCTCGGTCATAGTGGTATTCTTGACAAGCTTATCGAAGCAGGGAAACAATCAGATTATATTCCTACGACAGACTTCAATAAAAACTTTCCTGAGGGGCAGGATACTCGAAGAGAATTCCACTGAAATCTACACGGCGGCGGAGGTGCGGGGGTGTTCTCCGAAACGCTGAATGTCTCTCTCTCGTTCCGACTACCGAATTTTGCTAGCATCTTCCAAGCGGAAGTACGGGGAATTGAAAGGGCCTGTTAAGAATTAGAGAGGAGCTGCGTAGGAGTGCGAAGGTGGCACTTCTGGCACTTGCCTCACCGGTAACAAAGTCCAAAAGCGTCAGTGATTGCAAATGTGCTTTAAGCTCGACGGCCGAGTTAATACACATCTCTTGATGAATCCGAAACAGAGACAATAAACTTTCCAGTCAGACTTATCAAAAGGGGACTGAATTTGCAATTCGTACGTATGGCTCATGCACGTCGGATTAACTTTCAAACCTGCAAACCAAACACAGAAGAACTTCTAAAGAGGTCGAGGAAAGATATAGTCAAGTTAACAGCCAAGATAACGGGACATTCACCTTCGATGCTACACTATCTTTGCGAGTGTCCAGCACTGGCAGGAATAAGGCATGACACACTCGGGAGTTTTTCCATCCACAATCTTAGGGAGATCTGCAAATTCACCTTTACTAGCCTAAATAGATTAATCGAAAGATCCAAATAACTAATTTGAC